GAATTATCTTTGGGCAGGGCACTGATCAAAGGTAGAAAAACAAAGGCACGCTGCTCAGCATTGCGAAGCTAAACACGTGCAATTCATCACTTCGCGTAAAAGATATGCCACACAAAATAAATAAGGCTCAATCAACAAGAAAATAAAATAAAGAAAAACAACGTCATACAGCTACAACAAACATCACTAAAAAGAACTGCTTCTGTCCCTTCTCTTTCATGAATCAATATGTCTTTTATTCAAGCGATCTATATTGTATTCAGGGGGTAACCTACTGTGTAAAGTAACATTTTGTAAGTATGTCAATAGCGGCATTAGTGTCTGTAAAAAGCAAATTCACGGGGGAAATACCCATTTTGAATTATCTGTATAGTCCAGGCAGAGTATGGCTTTATATGCAAAACCACTTTTACAGGATAAGGAAACTTTCCCACAATGTTTCCTTACCCTTTTGCCCCCACCCACCAAAAAAGGAAAAAAACATTCCGACACAGGCTTCTTGATCTGACATCAGTGCTTGTGCAGTTTTGCACCATAGGCTTCTATGCGGCTGGCTAAAGGAACGGCTCCTATCCATCTACCAGCCCTTCTTGCCGTAAAAAAATTCTGCAGGCCTTGAGGTGAGACCTAGGCAAGTATAGCAATTGCAGAGGTGGGGGTGAGCTAGACCTACTTAGGGGATTGAGGGCAAAAGGGTAAGCAAAAAATCTGTGAGAAAAGTTCTCAGCCTCTTCCGCCACTTCCTGTCTATTTACTCCCAATAATATCAAGACATAAATGGAGAAAAAAAACATTTCTAGCCAATAAGACATAGCTTAGGAAAGAAGCTGCAGTCAGAACACAGGAACTATGCAAACAATTGTATTAAATGTTGTCACCACTGCCTAAGGCCCCTTTAACACGGGCTGATAACGAGAAGATCCTCTCCTGATCACAGCATTGTGACATTTGTGTCTGTACAGTTTTTTTTTTCTTGCGATGGGGGAAAAAAACTGCAATTACTGGACCCATGTCTGTCTATGGGGAATTGGATGTAAATGGACATACAGTATGTCCGTTTACGTCAGACTACCCTCGATCCGGCACGATCCAGTCCAGCGAAATGGAACTCTGTTCTGGTTTTTTTTCTGGACCTGGCCGGAGTCGGGTGTAACTGGGTGTATACGGACGCCCGTCCGTTTACACACGACTGCCCATAGACTTACATTGGTCATCCGATCAGGTCTGCTTGAAAACTGACAGGCGACCCGATCAGACCAACCGTGTGAAAGGGGCCTAAGTCTATATATTAACATGCAACAACAAGGATGTTATTGTGCATATTTGTTTTTAGAAAAATTATTTCCCAATGTAAAAACTATTTTAAATTGCTTTTAACAAACCACAACTGTATATCATGAGCCGAATTCAATCATTTACAACAAAATTCTTAAGATTTGCAGAGTACAAGGTAAATTTGATGACATGGTCCTCAGCTCACATTTTACCGGACTACCACACAACTGGATTTATGGCCTTTTAAACCGCTGTGGGATATTATTCAGTTATATATAGCAGAGTGGCAGAAAGTGTCTGATCCCTATGATGATCTTTTAATTAGGATATAAATTATTGTTCTACAGGGTATATTATTATAAGCAGAGTGTGTTCTGCTATGTTATCGTGATGAAGCATGAACAAATAACATTATCTGTGAAGACCCCAGGTTCCATATGGAGCACACACACATTGTACATGTGGCTTATGTCAAAGAACTTTATGGTCGCACTAATAAATCGCCTTGGTTGTAACTACATTGCTGTGAATAAGTAAGAACAGTCGAATCTCTGAAACCACTCAGCCATGCCAAGTGTGTGCCGATTATTATTTTAGGAAATGTATCTTCTTCTGATCTCTCTCCACTCTCCTGAACACCTTGTTTCCCCTTTGTTCTTGTCTCTTATTGGAGATCACTGTGATCTGTTGTCTAGCGACAGGTTTATAGGTTAGCTGACACCTTTGCTCCCAGGAATTTTAATTAACTTCTCTCATCATCAATATGGTAAAGAGCAGTTTCCATTATCCAAGGTCACTAGTGTGTTGCAGTGCCGGCTATGCCAGCCATCAAATTGAAGAATTAATGACGTGGATAATTGTCTCTAATGCAAGAAGAATTTGCATGGAGTACAGACTGGAGTGATAATTGGGGTGGAAGGAGAACCTCATGGTCTTGCTGCTCTCGCATAAAATGGGTGACTGATTCATATCTGGCCAATGAAGATGGCTATCCCTCCACCACCACTTTTACAAACGTATCCATCATTTGAGCTTGCAAAGAAAACACTCTGGGTAAATATTGTGACACCGAGAGAGGGCAAGTCTGTGTCCTCCTGCTGAAAACTGGAGCACAGAGAAAAGTGACAGAGCCCTACAAGAGATCAAGAGGTCATCACTTAAACCACATCACATGCTGCTGTGCAATAGTTACATCTAACTCCCACCTGTTGAACACCAAGAACAAAACAGATAAAATATAATTACTGTAGCTTTAAAGAACACTAGGAAAAATTATTTTTTAACCCTTGCAGTGGGCCACCTCCCACACTGCAAGGGTTATGTACTTATTTTTGTCTAGGGTGCAAAATAACAAAGTTATACTCACCCAAACCTCATAGCCAGCTGGTTGTTAGAGCGCTCCCTCCAGCCTGTCTCCTCCATCCACTGCAGGCATGGAATGTCCCTCCTCACGTCCTGTACACAATGTATTGGATGTGATCACTCACAGGACCTTAGACTGGTGGAGCTGAGGGGAGGAGAGGATCCAGGGACTGGTCTAACAGCCAGGCAGCTGTGAGGTTAAGGTCCGCATAACTTTTTTATTTTACACCCTAGATAAAATCGAGCACATAACCCTTGCAGTGTAGGGGTATTCCATTTGGCAGACTATTCAAAGCCCAGCATTGTAAAATCCATTGGTCTGTTCAGTAGAGGGATGGGAACTTGATCTGGGGAGACACAACTGACTACCCCTTTTATGGTAGGAACAGATCTCTATGAGCTGAGAAACGTCTACCATGTAAAATGTGCCATGGAGCTGCATTAGCTGGTGGTCGTAGTAAAAGGTGAGTCTTCCTAAAGGATATGGTCTATTGTGCCACACCTTTTCATAACTTGCAGCATCAGCCTCCTTTAAAATTCCCGACGTTCTTAGAGTCACATCTACACAAAGGAAGTCAGCGCTAGAAGACATTCATCTCCCATATGCGGACACTGCAGGTCTGAACTGGGAGCAGATATCTTTTAAATGGCCACCATATGTCACTGACTGATCAGTGTCTGAATGGCGAAATATCTCTACTCAAGGCCGCCAGCCCAACATATCGTATCAGTACTGACACAGGTGATAAATGCCTCCCTGCCCAAGTACTTCCCTGGGTCTGTACAACATTATTGTGACAACAGCTACTGTAAGTAAATTGGATAAATGGCCATATATAATCAGTGGTCTTTTTTTACTTACAGACAGTACATGACAAAACATCTACAACATGGAACAGCTAGTCACTTTTTCCAAAAGACTGCTCCTCTGCAAGCAAAAATACGTTTTCCATTTGAAGCAGAGTAAGTTTAAGCATATATTCTATATACATTCTCTATTCTCTGGATGACGTTTACTGCTTTAAACCACTGAGGCCAATAGGAAAATCTGATAAAGATGATATTCGTTTTAGATGAAGGATGACTACTCTTTAGGTGAAAGATCTGTGGAACACTAGAGTGCATTTAAAAAAACTCTGCTTTAAATATAACAATAAAACAGTTATTTCTCCTTCCTCCCAGACAATGCCCTATGTGCTCATTAAAGGAGCCATCATTTGCACAGTTGCTCTGACAGCCTGGACTTTGGGCAAAAAGAGCAACCCAACGATCAAAGGAAATTGTGTACTGAAGTTCAACTCAGCCATTGCGTGATTCCTCCCTCTGTCCCAATTGTGATTTCAAAGGAGATACACATGCAGAAAATATATTACTTGATTTCTCCTGTGCTGGTGTTTAGGGAATACAGCTTTTTTTCAAACAAGTTTAAGGAAAAAGCAGCACAGAAAATTGTTTTTCCATAAATTCTTCTTTACCATTAGTCTGGTGAAGAAATAAATCCTAAGCACAGTAAAATAACACAGAAAATATACTCTAAGCTAAACAAAGCTCAAAGCCAAAATGATGGAAAAAAAAGGAAAGAAAAGTTTATAAATTACATCACTGATGTCATTCTTGAAGCCCAAAATAAACATTAATGCCTGAATGAATATCCTAGGTGACATTATACTTAGCCTTTTATTTGTTATTTCTTTATTTTCTGTACCCTTGCAGCACTAGGGTTCTGTGTCCAGTTCTCACATAGAACTATGTGCATGAACAACGTAGTTCCCCCTGTATTTGCCCTTGTACCAATGCTCCCATTTACTTTGCTTATGACCAAAAGGACCCTGAATCCTTTATGTATGGCCACCCTACACTCCAATCAGTTCATTTAATCTTAAATAGATTTGCTAGCCAAAATGTACTGTGCTAGAACCTACCTTTTGGATATAAACGAATGCATGGTGCAGGTTTTTGGATAAAAAAAATGAATGCATTGTGTAGGTTTTTGAATTTAAATTGAATGCATTATGTTTTAAATTGCAAGCCCTCAGGGGCAGAGCCCTCCTTACCATCTTGTCTTGAATTTTATTGTAATTGTAATGTCTTCATTATATTGTAAAGCGCTGCGCAAACTGTTGTGCTGTAAAAATCCTGTATAATAATAATAGGTGCTTCTGCACCAAATGGTTGCCCGCAAACCTGAAGGAGATCATACAATTAAATGGTAATATGAGTGGCCTTCCACATAAACTCAAGGGATCATTTCATAAGTATTTAGTGTCTACATACTTCTGTATACACACCCTGGAAGTATTTTATTTGCCCTGGCTTCAAACAGAAGGACATATGTATGTAAAACAAAGTAGTGCAATTCTTACCTTAACAGAGGGTTTATGGCAATAGACCACACTCTGTCATCCGTCTGAATAGTATGAAGACATTGTGCATCTGCGCCAGATGAGAGAGACCACACCTAAACAAATACCATTAAGACAAAAATTACAACACTGCAATTTTCAATATGTAAAATATGTAAAACCAAGAACTGATACATAACGACATCAGCAAATATAACAATGAATAAACTATGCTAAGTAATATTTAAAATGAAAGCCATTAACTTTTTTAAGCTTTGGCTAGAGTACAAAGAAGTTAACAGCAGTTTTTTTTAATTAGTCTAAATAAAAAGAAATCCACAAATGAATAAATAAATATAAGTCAATAAACAATATCATAAAACTTCATCTATTTCTTCCACCTCCGTGGTTCTTATAAATAGCTAAAAATCGTTAAACAATAAGTGATCAAACAATGTCTTCTCGTGATCTGCCTTGTTTCAAATGTAACAATTATGCGTGATACACTAATATAGTTCCTTTTCTGAAGGTTTTCTGAAGTTTTATAGTATTGTTTAATGAGCAATATCTATTAGTTTGTGGATTTATTTTTAGTTAGATTTCTTGACATTTTATGCACACATACTGTTCTGATCAGCGTGGCACTATTTACTTATATTTACATTATAAACCAGCTCCTTTGTGTGATAAAAAACAAACATTTGCTGTTATTTATACATTTTAAAATTAAGCTGGCCACACACTGGTAGATTATTTTCTATGGCTAATGCCATCAGAGACTTCATGAAAGTTGCTCGAAATTTCATTTGGTTTTAGCATTTGATTTGGGAATGAATGGAGTTTCCTGAATGAAAATCACATTCGCTTTTAGAATTTTGTTCAATCGGTGAAAGATTTTTCCATCCTGCTCCTTAAATTTTTTTCATTACCACATTCGAAAACGATCATCCCCATTAACTATAAGAAAATCGAACATTCTAAAGGAAGACATTTTTCTAACAAAATTCTACTCCACCACCTTCACTGTATTCAAAGTACGTAAATGTTTTGGTGTGCACATGCACATATTTGGTTTTGAATTTTATCAGATAGTACTGCAAGTTGGTTGAGGGCCGATCGTCTTATCTTGCTACTTTTACTGAATGTAAAGTACATGAACCATATTATTATAATGATGTTTTAACCACAACTTCTTTTCCAGTTTATTTTTTAGTCTGTGTACTGTAGCGGTGTAACATACTGCAGATTATCACCCCTTAGCTTCAGTGACTACAGCAGAGTTTGTTTTTTTTAGGTTTAGATTTGTACTACAAACACTCCCCCCCCCCCTCCATATGCGAGAAGTGTTCTGTAGTTCACATAAGACATCTGGGAAAACTGGTTCTGTTTACGATATCAGGACAGCACGGAAAGCTACAATACACTGGCTATGCGGCAAGATCAACAGGTATTTTTCTGAACTTGCAGAACATTTACTTTTCTGCAAACCAATGCAGCCACCACATGTAAATGACTGGTAAGCTGCAGTATATTAACTTTTTGTTCTGGGGTATAAATATCTTTTAAGCTAGTTATTTGTTTACGAAGATCCCCAGATCTTTAAAATGCATTGAAAACACGTGTTGTTAATTACAAAAGGGGGGCTGTGTGTTACTCATGTCAACGGGAATTTAGTATCGCACCAAGAGTAACCAAATGAAGGTGGTGAGCTTAACTAGCCTAAGCTTCCATATCTCCCACAGGTTAAAAATATTGCTGGGAGCAGCCTATCTCCTGACTATCACTGAGGAATGTACATTAGCAGCTTCTCTGGGCTTAACAGTAATCAACACTCTGCAGAGTCCTCAAAACTGGCCACACTCCGCATTCAGTGCTCCCATTAACTTGTGACTCCTCTCTTGTGACTGCGGAAACACTTCAAGTATAAATGAAGAAATACAATCAGAGAAGCATGAATGCTTGGTCAGGATAGAACTATTTACCTGTACTAAATTATAACAGAGCAGGCATTTTATAGGGCAGTGAATAATCAGGTCAAGTTTAGGGGCTTTAGCTACTAAAAAATATAACAGTGTTCACAAAGAGCAAATAGAAGGTATACTACAACAACATATTAGATTAGTAGAGCAAGGCCTGTTAAAGCCATAGCAGCTTAACATGAAACCAAACTCGGAAGTTAAATCTTAACTATACATTAAAGTACCCCAACTACTACCAAAAATCTTATTTGTGTATCACTAAGCTGTAGATCCTCAAATCCTCTATGAATTGGTGCCGACACTGTCCTTCATTCTGGAGGGTGGCTACTTTTGTTCTCCATGGTTCCTGTGTGTTCTAAAGTAGCCACTACTCTAAGCTCACTCCTGTGATGGACTACAATCTCATATTTAAGTTTACTAATTTATATTGAGATTGTAGTCCATCACTGGAGTGAGCTTGGAGTGGTGGCTATTTTACAGCACACTTTACAGCCCATACAGCCGAATGATACACAAATAAGATACATTTTTATTCATAGTAAAAGTACTTGAATGTATTTTTAAGATTTACCTCCTGGGTTTAGTGTCACTTTAAAACACAAACACAAATAGCAAGCCCTTTAGGAATCATTTGTATTTAGTGTACCTACATTACATACCATTATTATCATTTTAGAAAAGTGTAGTCTCATCATGTCCTTAACTGACATCTACATGTAGGCATGTGAACTGCGGCTTTTGTGTGCAGCTACTTCTTTTTCTCACATACTGTAGATGTGCCAGTCTGCACAAATGGACACTTATGACGAAGCTGCAGCTTTCCCTACCATGCTATGTGAAGGGCTTGAAAGTTCAGTTGTTAGATTAAATAAGCACACTGGTAACCTTGAGAGTTGTCATGCCTCATGGTAGACATTAAATTGGTGGTTACATTTCTTATTTTTTCAACAATTCCCTCAATCATCATGAAAAACATTTAAAAAAAAAAAGTTGTAAAATATTTAACTTTTCCTTCAATCCTGTAAACCTCTACGGTGGGTCATCAAGGCACCGGTAACGTGGTTTCTGCCAAAGGGGAAGGCAACTATTTAGGTAGAGCTACTGATTGGCCATCTTTAACATATCAGTCCTTAAGAAGACAGACAAGTGTTTTAATTCTCTCTCCAGTGTGTTTCATGATGTCCCAGAATGATTTTTCAACATAGGCCCACTATACCTGGATGTGTTTAAGTAGTTTTTTCACAGATAAACATCTGTGACATCCTTAAGCTGGCCATACACTGGTAGATTTTTATGTGAATGTTCACATGAAAAATCTCGTCAGAATATTCTATAAATCCATCATCGACTTGATGGATGTCGTTCGAATTTGTGTTTGATTTTAATATTCTATTTTGTAATGAATGGAGTTTTCTGAATGAAAACCACATTCACTTTAAGAATTTAATTCCTTCAAGAAAAAATAAATTCCATCCTGCTCTGTCAATTGTTTTTGTCACTACAGTCAAAAAGTATTGTATTAACAAATGTCCTGAAAATTCTTTTTTTTTAAACAAAAAATCTACTGGTGTATGGCCAGCTTTAGGTTGCATCCTTTTCACTGTAATTTGTTTACATGTTCTAAAGGCTGAGTTATAACAAAAAAAGTGAGCCAATAAAGTGGATCTGTTGCCAACAGCACCAATCGGCTTTTACTTTCACAATGCAGGTTTGGGAATAAGATAAATTTGGTTGGGGTCTTCATCAGCCGCATAGTGGTTAAACAAATATATATATATTTGTTTAACCACTTTGTTTATATATACAAATATATATATATAAACAAATTATTAACCCTTTTAAAAAAGCAAGTTTAAATCAAGAGTAACAATTCCCACCGGGCCAACAGTAGCATGTACCAGCTGGAAACAAGATTTCTGCCTGGAATAAAGAGTGGGACATGAAATTGCTCTAGAGAAGCCAGTGTGAGCATTTTAACTGCAATCTCATATTGCTCCCAGCAGACAACGCCTGGAAGTGTTTTACTAAGTTGTACAACAGCTTGTAGAAAAAAAGAATGATCTATACAAGATTGGTGTCTGGTGTAACAATATAACAAGTCTCATCTTCAACCATCATTTCTCTGTATTATAGGATACACTACACTACTTCCCAAAAATCCAAGCTTAAAAAGAATAAAAAAAAAAAAAGGTGAATACGTAAGCAACAGATGTATACGTAGACAAGAAAATTACACCCAAAACTACATCTTTAAACAGGGATGGGAAAATGGGACTCCTATACCATCCTCCACATCCTCCACCATCCTTTTTCAATTATTTGAAGCAGCCAAACTGTTATTAGTCATGTACAAAATATCCTTTTCCACCTATTTATGTTATTTAAAATGGTGAATAAAGGTTAATATTGGCCATTCAGAAGGTGGATTGACAACTCGAACCGACCAACAGTTTCCAGAAAATCCCAGCAAACTAAAAGGAGATATTGGCTACAAAAGAGGTTGCCATCAGCTGTCTTTAGAGAGGGGCTCTCTAAGGATTGTAATCTGAGTGCAGTTTGACCATTTAACAGTGGTCAAAGGAGTCTGGTGAGTGTATTGATTGCACAGAAACACTTAGAATGTTACACTAATAAATACCCTTTTGGAATGGAGAACAATTGTACTTTATATATTGTTGAAATAACCTCTTAAAGAGACTTTTTTTTTGTGAGTTTTATAGAAACCAATTTTTGGAGTTGCACATGTGATCTGGATCACAACACATTGCACATGCAGTTTTGAGATTGTATTGAATTTAACCATTGGGGAGGTCATATATTGTTTTGGGACTATCACTAGGCACTTTATTGTACAGATGTTCCTCACTTACCGACTTACCTGTTTTGCGACCACTCGCACTTACGACGGACCGCCGATCGACCTCCGACCTTCCGCGTCAGCGTCAGTGCGACGGGTCGCCGGCGGAAGTGACATCCCCCGATCTTCACTGCAGGTCTCGGTAAGTATTTCCATTGCCGGATGTACAGTACACTGTTCGGTACTGTACATCGGCAACGCTATACAGTACTGTACTAATGCAGTATAGTACTGTATAGAGTTCCTCACTTAACGACCAATCCGTTTAACGACCTGGTCGTAGGAACGGAACTCGGTCGTTAAGTGAGGAATACCTGTATATTGTTTATGTAGAAGTTGTAGGTTTTTTAGCGCAGTGACTTTATTGTCTTGACAGTTACGACAAAGACTCTCTTGCTTTCACATCACCTGTCCATCTTCTACACTGTGTAGGACTGAGTTGTAAAATATAGCTCTACCTGTGTAATCAGTATTCACTTTGACTTATTGGAGCATAGAGAGCTTCTGATACCGAGTGTGCAGCTGTCATGCTGACAGCGGAGTTCCGCTGATTACACAGGGAAAGTTATGTTTGACAGTTTGGTCGAGGGTGATCCAGATGTAGAAGGCTCAAGTCATGGTTGTTCCCCACTTCCCCAACATGGCGCTGAAGGTAGGCATCGCTTCTCCCTTTGCCTCATCCCAGTCCTGACTACAAAATCATAAAACTGTTATATAAACTAGCTGCATTGTCTATAAAAAAAAATCAAACTGTGAGCTTCCCATACCAGCAGGAAGTTAGAAAACTGGACATTATAATTTGCTTTAGTACTGGCGTAAGCAACTGAATCATTTTGATGCTCACATAACTATAAGTAATTTATAGAGATCGATCGCATTTAAATTGGTAAGAAAATAGAAACAAATGGATTCGGTTCCAAAAGAGGGAATATTGGGAGCTATGACGAAACTAGATACAAACTTTTATTGTAGTTTGTGTAGAGTGGGGAGGAGTTAAAACGTCTCAGTCAAGTTGGTTGTTGTTGGGAAGCATCTCCCTCACATCCTACTTTTAGGATGGTGATAATTAAGAAGGCAGGAAGTAAGTACATATCAAAAAGTTAGAACCTCTGGGTGGTTTTATTGTTGGGAGAGAGGAACTGGGACAATAAGCGTGGGAAACTCTACGCAATGGGGACTGAGCCATGCTATAAAAACGTTTTCAAAGTTAAAGAAAAAAGTTATATCTAGTGTTATATTTGAACTGAAATTAACAATCCACTTCACTATTCACAACAACACTCTACAAGTAAGATTAGTTTACCCACTTACAAAAGTGAGCAATTCTCTACCGCTGTATTACTGTTTTTCTTTGACACAAGTGGGCGAATAGGCCAACTTTAGGTCTAGATCTAAGAAAAAGCCATATAGGCCAAGTCTCATCCTCTTTTTTTGTTTATTTTAACACATTTGTAATTATAATAAGTAAATATGACAGTGACTACATAAAACATGTTTTACTTTACATATATATTTACCATCTATAGATTAATAAACTGCAGACACAAATATTTAAGGTCAAAGCAAAAGGTACTTTGAAAGTGACCTAGGTGGTGCCTCCATTAAATCTAGCTGTGCCATACACAAATGTCTCACCAAGTAGAAACAGTACAAGCAGCATATGAGCAGCTGGTTAGGGCAGAGTGCATTGTAGATGTGCATATGCTGCCAGCAGAACACAGTTGCACATGCTGTGGTAACATATGCAAAGTTGTCCTGTGATGCTCTCCAGGTTACAGAGAAAGGGAAAAAATAAAAAGACATAGGGTCAAGAAGTGTAAAAAAAAAAATTCTCAGTTCAAGTACAGTTTCTTCCTCTCTGAAAGACATTTTGGTATAAACCATGTAAAAAGAGCATTGGTCAAAGACTACCAGTCTTATAAAATCTGCTGCTTACATGCTGCCTTTTTTGCAGTAGTGCCAGAGCTTCCTGCTTTTATTCTTATAATTATTGATTTAAAGTGGAATAGCAGAAAATAATGGAAGTGTTTGCCATCCCAACCAACCAAGTCTTAGATGTCACCTTCTAAGTTGCAACAGAAAAATTGCAGAATGAACCAGATTAGTTCCTATAGGCTATGTTCTGTACTCCAGTTTTTATAAAGTAGCCCCACTGTGTTTTAAAAGGTAACATTCAATCTATTCACAAAATAATATAAGGTCATACCTGTAGTGTACACCAGTGGTTCTGAAGTTGCAGTTAGCCTTCTGGGAGAAAAATTATTTGCTTGGCTCCACCCAATATCCAAAAATTAGAAATAATCCTCTTATTTTTGGGATTTGTAAATGAATGAGACATGTGAATCCCTCCTGTTCTAAGAAGGCTTTACTATGCTATGCACTGGTTCAGCAGAGGGCTTTTTGGTTGCTTTTATCCCTTCTCTCCAGAGCCTTCATGGTTACAATTTCATATTTTCTTACTGTTACACATTTGCTGTTCCTTCTCTATTTCTGAAATTAATTTTCTTCTCTATGTTTTTCCTAATTCACTTGAGATGCTTCCTTTTAGCCATCTTTTTGTTAGGAGTGTGCAGTAAAATGACAACCACTGTAACCACACCTATCATATCGTAGCCACCAGTCATGCACATCACATCTTCCTAGCAATGCATGGAGCAAAATGTAAATTTTTATTATGTTTAGCCCTGTCTGTGTAACACCTGATGAAGGAAAATATGCATAGCGAATCAGTATGACAATACACTAAAGCAGTATTTAATAAGCTATACTGTCTATCAACATTTACATTTTCCAAGGAGTAAAGGTGAAGTTTCACTTTATTACAGTTCACTTTTGGCTGCTCACAATAAGTGCTCACTCCTTGCCAATAATATGCAGATCACAGTAGCCTGACCTCTGTGAAAGGAAAAAGAATAGCCAGGAGAATTGCAGCCGCGGTCATGTCCGGCAGCTCTCCCCATCATGCATACCTTTTGAACTAATCAACTTTCAACATAAGTGTGAGTAATGTGCTTTTCAGTAGAAGCATCTCTCTCATGCACTGGAAATGTGGAACTTTGCAGTCACATGGAATGATGGAGTGACAGCTTCAAGAGGACTTACCCTTGCAGTCCTGTCTCTGGAGCCGCTGACAATAATTCCTCCATGACAATCCACGCAGTTCACATCCTGCTCATGTGCACTGAACTGGATACTGACAGAACTGTGAACTTTATGAAGGGCGATCTTTCCATCCCTGCAGTAAGATCAGAGTCAGAGATTTATTAAGTGAATCAAAGGCAGAATTGTCTTGACTTTTTCGGTTATTCACAAAAAAAACATTAGGTCTGCCCGACCTAAAAATAACCTAAACATTTTCTGACAACAAAATATCTACACATTTGAATACAACAGTACATAGATGAAATGGCACATTAAGTAAATCCAACCACTATTTATAATACATTATTTGAAGTTTTCTTTTTGTTCTGATCTACTTTCTAAAGTTGCTAATGGCAGGGCTGTTGAGATCTCTAAATATAACCTACTAATTTTGTTTCAGTTTCTAAAGCTGGGAGGGCTGCCAATATGCAAACTGCTTGATCTACTAAACCAGACATTCAGAATAATGTATTGTCTGTGCCCGCCCTGGTCTAAGATCACTGGGAGTCAGTGGGAGCCATGTTGTGTCTAGGCCCGCCCCAACCACTGCTGACATAAAAAGACACAGATTGTTCTACTTCAGGCCTGTTCCTCTATGATATGCCGAGTAGTGTGTGGGAGGTGTGTTTGAGGAGGCTTGGGGGATACACCCAAGCCCTATTTTTTTCTCTTCTACGTGTGTAATTGCACTCATATGGTCCGTTTAGGTGCAAGTGAACTTTAACGGAACCGGGCATCAGTAGGCTGTCATTTCTGGCCTCTCCTTGTAAAAATGCAGGTTGCTTTTCTGCCATACTGAGCCAATGGCTTCACTACTTTTGCATCACTGACTCAGAAAAAGCATGCAAATCATGTGATCACCCTACTTCAATTGCTGCATACATGATCTAGGTAAGCGACTCAAAATGTAGTGAAGCCACAGATGGCCAGGAAATAAGCATTTTCAGAAGATGATAGCAATGGATTTCTATATTTAAAATTGGCCTTCATGAATAAGAACTCTTTACACAATAAGAATATCAGCCTGTTTAAAATAATTTGATATGGTTACTTAAAAATGTTTTCTACATTTCCAAGTTGACAGCCTATACATTTTGTTTAGTACAAGTTTCCTTTATGTTACCCATATACATGACATGTTTGCCTTCTGCCCATGGGCAGTCAGGTTCCTAAAAGCTGAGAACCCTTGGAGGGAGGAATATTCAATCCATCAGGTTAGAAAATATGTTCCAGCCTTACTTATTTAATCTGATAATCTTGCAGCATCCCGGCATACTTCCACCTTAGCCTCCACATAGCATATCCATAAACAATCAGGCAAATAAAATGCTACCGTTTTACTACCGGAGGGCTGACAGTCATATGGCTGAGCGTGGTCACAGTGCATGACCATCTCAACACTCACTTACGGCTATGGCTGCCCTTAGAACAGCACTTTAAAGTACATCGGTCATGAGAGAAAAAACAGCAGCTGCCACTGTTGGCCTTCTTCAGATAATACTAGTTGCCTGCCTATGTCTGGCATCAGCACTCACTGAATTACAGACAATAAACAAGCAAACTGTGAGTGTCAAAACAGTTCCAAATCTACCACGAAGTGAGGATAATTTGATAACTGTCACCAGGGCTGTTGTCCTCATTGGGAGATTTTCCCTCACTTACTGTAAAAAACTGTTAATGTTGGTGAATGCATTCTCTGTCCCAGTGACAACTGGCATCAGAACAGGAAGTGAGAGGAAATCTACCGAACTTGGACACAGCAGTAAACCCCTGGCAGTGGCTCACACCCCTTACTGCACCAGTTATCGATGCTTGCCAGATTGAATTGAAATGTAAAATGGTCAGCTTATTACATGATGGGATAGACATATGTGTGGTCAGTGTTAAAAATATTTACAGGCTGAAAAGCTAAAAGGCAACAGTTCTTTATTTCTGTTCTATACAATGAAACTGGAGGTTAGAAAAAGTTTTAAACTCTTGTTCCATTGCCACTGTGAACATTAAAAAAACATTTGGGTTAGAGTAGACTACCTCCATCTGGCTATCTCAGCATGGCCCAAAAGAGTTGAAACAGCCCTCCCTTCAACTATTTTAGGGCAAGTTGAACTTTACCAGCAGTGTTTCCAAAGCCTACCTCAGACACTGGACTGTTTTGTGAACAACAATATAATGTAACTTAACCTAACCTGGCCCTTCACTAATCAGCTGTTTTAGAAGAAATAAGAGACCCATGAGTGCCTCTATGCCTTCATTTACCTTACTAACCGAGTGTGTTGGCTACCCCCGGGGACTAAATATACAGTCGTTTGAAAAAGAAAGTGCACCCTCTTTAAATTCTATGGTTTTAAAGAGAACTATGGTCATAGTTCTCTTCAGGGTCACAGGAGGACATATACTAATGTCCTCTGGTGATACAAAATGCTATATGCTGAGAGCGCAGAGCCCCGCCGCAGCTGGGACGGATCCCAACAATACTGTTGAGATCCAGCCTGCTGGTTGTTTGACAACGGGTTCTGCCTATCTAGAGGCAGAGCCAGCTGTGCCCGCCCCCTCCCTCGTCCGTTCCTCCAGGTAGCACTGGAGGAAAGGAGAGGGGGAAATCCCTGCGAGGAGTGGTGACTGCCAGTCACCGCTCTCTGCAGGGAGAGGATCGGGAAGTCAGCGATGGGCGATATGTGATCGCTGACTTCCCCATCAATAGAGCCGACCTGTAACAGCTTCAGTGTCACAGGTTGGCTTAAATTATTGGGATGACTGTTTTTCACTCACCCCATAATTCTCCTTTAAGTATCAGGACATAATACAAATCAGTTGTTCCTTAACAGGTCTTAAAATTAGGTAAATACAACCTCAGGTATACAACAACACATGACATATTACACTGAGTCATTATTTGTTTTACAAACATAAAGCCAAAATGGAGAAGCTATGTGTGAAAAACTAAGTAAACCTTATGATTCAAAATCGTGTTGAGGTCTGGACTTTGACTGGACCATTGCAACCCCTTGATTTTCTTTTTCAGCCATTCTGTCGTACATTTGCTGGTGTGATTGGGATAATTTTCCTGTTGCATGACACAATTTTGGCCAAACTTTGGCTATCGGAGGGTGGCCTCCTACTTGAATCTAGAATTGTCCTGTGGCTGCAAAACAAGCCCAAATCATCGCCCCTGCACCACCGTGCTTGACAGTGGGTATGAGGTGTTTGTGCCGATATGCTGTGTTTGGTTTTCACCAAATGTGGCACTGTGCATTATGGCCAAACATCTCCACTTTGGTCTTGTCTGTCCAAAGGACATTGCTTCAGAAGTCTTGTGGTTTATTCACATGCAACTCTGCAAACCTAAGCCGTGCTATGTTCTTTTTGGAGAGAAGAGGCTTTCTCCTGGCAACCCTTCCAAACAAACCATACTTGCTCAGTCTTTTCCAATTCTACTGTCATGAACTATTTAACATACTAACTGAGGCCTGTAGAGTCTGAGATGTAACTCTTGGATTTTTTGCAATTTCTCTGAGCACTGAATGGTCCGACCTTGGGGTGAATTTGCTGGGACGTCCACCTCTGGGAAGATTGGCAACAGTCTTCAATGTTTTACAATGAGTAATCTTCCTCATTGTAGAATGATGGACTTTAAATTGTTTGGGAATGGCCTTATAACCCGTCCCAGATTAATGGGCAGCAACAGATGCTTCTCTAAGATCACTGCTGATGTCTTTCGTCCTTGGCATTGTGGTACCACACACCTGGATTGCTCCAGATCAGCAAACTGCTAAAACTTCAGCTTTTAGGCCCCGTTCACATTGAGCGATTTATCGCGCGGTAATTCCCACGATATCACAGCTATTTACCGCGCGATATCGCTCTTCAATGCTTTGCAATGGGGCAAAGGGTCCTGCTGTCGCGGGTCATGTGTCGCTACAGCAGGACCCTTTTTGGAGCGGATTTTGCCGCGATTCAATGGTTTTTGATGCAAGCATTTGCGCGATATCGCGAAAATCGCGCGATTTGCGAATCGCTCAATGTGAACGGGGCCTTATAGAGGTGGTCACACTTGATGACGAACAATTAATAAAGGGCCTTTGAACAGCAGCACCTGGCTGCTACGTAGCCTCTTAATGCCTGTGGAAGCAGTAAGGGTGCACTTAGTTTTTCACACATGGGTTCTCAATTTTGACTTTATGTCAAAAAAATATGACATATGTCGTGTGTGTTGTTCATCTGAGGTTGTATTTACCTAATTCTAAGACCTGTTAAAAGGACCAGGTGATCTTTATTATGTCCTGATACTTAAAACCATAGAATTCAAAGAGGGTGTACTTTGATTTTCACGTGTGTGTGTCTGTGTGTGTCTGTGTGTGTATATATCACTCTTCACTGACCTCCCACCAAGTTTATTCAATCATCATTAAGAAGTGATGTCAAAGAAATAGAAATTTAAAGCAAAAGGATTAAGGATTATCACAGCTAACAATAAAATTATTCTGTTAAAAGAAGATATAATAGATAATTCAATCAAACATTCCTATGAACACCTTTTTTCAGCTAAAACAATTAAGAATCTGAGTCCAAATAGTTTTTTTGCCACTATGAGGACAAGGAACAACTAGGGTCCACAGTTTCAACCTTTTCCTATGCATCGGACATTACCAGCACAAGTGGCTATGGCTATGCTTCACTTCCTACCTGCCTCGGCAAGCTCAATCACTGAACTCATAAGCACGGCAACAAAGTTTGCCCTACAAAGAGTCAGACCATTTATCTCCTTTATGAAGAGGATTATCTCCTAACTCTCCTGTGCTCACCCTGACATTTTAGTGTGGATCTTCAAAAAGCCATGACCTCAGCCTAGGTTTAGGCTTTGGATACACTGTACCTTTGAAGAACTACATTGTCTTATTTCTACGTGTCAGGGCAAAAGTGCTAACCTTCCATGACGAATGTGAACTACACAGAAAAGATCAAAAAACCTCTAAAAATGCCATGACAGAGGAATGACAAACAATAGCACCTTAGATGCTATTAATGGGAGAATTTTATCAGTAAGAGCTATGTAAGGAACCTGCTAAACTAAACACCTCTTATCCTGTTTTTTTAAACAAGGTCTACAAGCTATAATGCAAATATCAAAGATATTTAACAGATGCTATATGGCCTGCAAATAAAAACTAGCATAGCCATACAGAACTGTAACTTTCTAGACAACGCCCAGAAGCATTAAATGCATGATTGCCCCATAGAAATTTGTAGTGAGGTAAACTTTACAAAAGCAAGCCTCACATCTTCAGTATTCTTAGGTATATTTAAAATTAAAAATATAAAGATAAAAAGAACTGGTACAGTATTAGGGAAAATATTAGTACAATACAAATAGGATCAGGGCCTCTGCTATCTAGGCCTAATTATTACTAGCATTATGTGTATCAGATATTATGCCACATGATACAGAATCACTTCTGTGAGTATTATTATTATTAGGGATGCACCGATACCGATACAAGCATTGGTATCGGCGGCGATACCAAGTATTTGCATGAGTACTCATACTCTGATACATAAAACGAGTACCTGTGCCGCGTCCGCCATCTTCAGGGACCCGAATCCGCCGCACACAGGACCTCCATCGCGTCTTCAATGAAGCAAGATGGCCGCGACCTCCTCTGTCATCTGCTCCATTCTGACCTCTTCTCCCGCTGATTGGCCAATTGAATGATTGACAGGCTTCCTCACCAGTCA